TGCTGAAATGCCATACAATTACATACCTGACTATGTTATGTAATTATAAAACTTTTGAGTGGAATTATAAAAATTATGTAAATTTGATTAACGGTTGTGTGGGATAATGCTCCCACCTTTTGGAAGGTATTATTATGCATATGTAAGTGGTAGTATGAATGATGCTAAGTAAATTGCAAAGTCATGGCTTGAGTTTCATAAGATAATGCCTTTTTAAAAATTGGAAATACTTGAAAAATATGAGTTTATGGCTGCAATATTCCTAATAAAATAATGGAATCTAGCTATGAGATTTAGTGAGCTTAAAATTCACATTCCAGGCTTCAAATAGAGTGGTAGAACACCTTATTCGGAGCTATGTACTAGAAGTTATGGCAAAAAGCTGAAAAATAAAAAATTAACCAAATGAATAGTGCTTTTACATTAAAAAAATGGAGCCTAATGGTAAATTTAATCAACCAGTGAATATTTGTTCTATGTAAAGAAATGAAATAGTTTCAAATAGAACTTCGAACACACCCTCATTTCAATTTTTCTAGAATTAGTTATAAAATTTTAAAGTTTGCGCCAAAGTTTTTAGGGTTATTAAATGAATAGTAATCTAAGAGTGATTTTCCAAAGTTTGATTTTCTAAACCTAATGCCATGCAAGGTGATTCTATTTGATATCGTTTGGCTCCATATATGGTTATTAAACTAAGTGTTATAAATAGTGAAGCTATTAGGGTTTCGCATAGCAGGAAGCACAATTGGGAGCATTGAAACAAGTCAAAGGAATTAAAAGACTTGAGTGGAAGCCAAGTAGCAAATTTGGCAAAAAAGCAAGATTGCATCACTTTTGCAGTATCTCACCCCACCCTATTTGTAGTATGATTCTTTTCCTTTATTAGTGGGAAAATTAACCTTAGAGCTATCGATGTCATCTATTTGGTAGAATATCCAGGTCAATATGGTGCCATCAATCTTAGTAGAGATCCATATGTCACTAAAACCAATGCCATATCAAGAAGAAGGGCCAAATAAAATGCACGCTGCATTACTTGATATATGGATGCCGATTGGAATCTCATCTGTCAGATGCAATTGATGATAGGAAAGGTTAAAATGGTGATGAAAGATAGGCACAATAATCAAGTGGATAGAAGAAGCTCAGAAGAGGGAGGGTCGTTAGCAAATACTTTGAAAGCTAAAGTACTCCGAAATGAAATTCGAGATTTGAGACTCTCCAGAAGGAATACTAAAATACAAAGAGGGAGTGTACATTCCTTCTATGATTGGTATTAAAGAGAAATTTAGAGGAGGCACAAAAAAGCAAGTACATGATGCATCCAGGCATGATGAAGATGTACCGAGACATTAGAGAGTTATTTTGGTGGCCTGGTATGAAGAGAGACATAACAGAATATGTATCTAAGTGCCTCACTTGTCAAAAAGGTAATGGGCACGAAGTAAGTTTCAATACAACCTCCCATCCACAAACAGATAGGCAAATGGAGTGAACAATGCAAATGCTAGAAGATATGTTGAGAATGTGCGTATTAGATTTCAAACAAAACTAGGATGAATATTTGTTGTTAGCTGAATTGCGTACAACAACAACCATCATTCTAGTATACAGATGGCTCCGTATAAGGTGTTGTATGGCCATAAGTGCTGATCCCCACTATGTTGGACAGAGTTAGGGGAAAGAAAAATTTATGGACAGACATGGTGGAAAAAACCCACACAGTAGATAAAGATAATTAAACAGAGGCTACTTGCAGCCAAAGTGGGCACAAGAGTTATGCTAATGTTTAGCAGAAGTCTCTAGAATTTGAAGTTGGAGATCATGTATTTTTAAAAAATATCTCCAATGACAGGAGTAGGAAGGTCATTGAAAGCAAGAAAGCTACACCTAAATTCATTGGACCCTTCCAAATTCTCTCGAGGATAAGGCCCGTAGCTTATAAATGGCCTTACATCCTATCTCAATCAGATACATGACGTCTTCCATATTTCTTAGCTAAAGAAAACAACCAAATCCCTCTCATATCTTAGAATATGAAGATATCATGCTAAAAGTAATTTGACATTCGAGCGTGGTAAAGCCATCAAAGATTGTAGATTGACAGATCAAGCAGCTACGAAATAAGACCATTTTGATGGTCAAGGTGATTTGGAAAAGCTTAACACAAGGAGTAACATGGGAAAAGGAAGACAATATGAGAATAGTTATCCAGAGAGCTCTTCAAATAAGGTACGTTTTAAATTTCAAGGAAAAAATTATTTAGGGGGAGGAAAATATCACATCCCGCAAAATTTAACCTGCATGATAATGGGTATGAAAATTAAGTCAAGGGCCAATAGGAAAAGTAGACTGGTTGATGAAGCCAGGCATAACATAAAACCCAGAAGGGTCCGGATGATATTTTTGAAATTATCGGTCTAGGAAGGAAAAAATAGGAAAATTTCTGAAATTTTTTTAGGAGGCTTTCCCTATATAAAAGAGGATTTTTGATGGAGAGAAATGATGAATTTTTGGAGGCCCAGAACTATTTTTGAAAATAGTAACTGAAATAGTAAGTGTTAATTAGAAATTGATATTATGATTGAGCCACACTTGTTCTTCTTTTTTAAATCAGTTTTGGTTTATATTGGGTCAAGAGGACCCAGAAATTTCATGCAGCCCCACACCCTTTCTTTGCCAAAGAGTTTAAGCCCAATTCAAGCCCAAAATTCAAGAGAAAAATCAAGAAGGAACACTTGCTTGATCTGAATCTTAGAGCATATGATGAGGGACACATGGCCCCTTAGGTGGTAGGGGATGGAGCCATTTTGGAGGGCTTGGGGTCGATTTGAAGCTCTATAAATACCCCCTAAATACAATAAATTGGCCAAAATAGGAAAATAGGGGAATTCTGTCAAATTGAAAACTCACCTCTAAACAACACCTAAAATCCTCCAAAACAAAGGAAAATCATAAGCTTCAAAGAAGGATCCATCAAGGTATGTCTAAGCTTGATTTGGTTAGATTAAGGGTGGTTTTGATTGAAATTTCATGACAAATCCTTAAGGTGGTGCTGTCCATTTCGATCACATGAGGAAGCATTAGGGAAGATAGAACCATGAATATAAACTTGAAATTACATGTTTAATTGATGTTTGGATGAATTTTGTCATAAAACCAAAGTTTTGTCTTATTGGGCTTGGAATTGCCAACGAAAAAGAGATGAAAAAAATGAGAAAAGAAATAGAAAAAGGCAAATAAATAGAAGAAATGTTTGAGAAAAGTCAAAAAAAGAAAGATCAAATAAAATGGTACCAAAAGAATAAAAATTTAAAATAAGGCAGTCTATTGGTGGTTTGAAGAACAAGTTGTGCTCAAGAGAAAGAAAATAAATGTTACTTGGAAACCTTTATGAATGCTTGGTGGTTTATCATTTCATATTTTTCACTTTATCTCATTTCATTTAGCCCCTTCCATCATCATAACCTTAGAAGTCCTCTTGATTATTGCATTTATCCACCCAAAAGGCAACCACCATGCGATGGGTAAGCGACAAGGGTAGGTCGTGATTCAAACCTTGTCTTCTTCCACTAATACCGGCGACACCGTCATCAGATCAACAGTCCATAAGTACAAGAAAGGAGATGGATGGATTAGTCGAAGGTACGGGTTGCTGTATGTCTCAGTGAATTCCAAGACTGCGATTCAGAATAGGAAATTATTCAGGTTGGCTTTCGATGGAATTTGGAGGAGAGGAACGAGAGTGAATCAAATCAAGGAAGATTGTTATGTTGTTGGTTGCTGATATATTTGGAGGAGAGAAACCAAATAAAGATGAAGCAGAAGTCAAGATTGGATCGCCAAAGGAGAATGGGAGAGAAGAAAAAGAATTAAATGAACACTAATACACATAGCAAAACATAATCAGATACTTAGACATAATACACCTAATTAACTTGACCTAAATTTTTTTTTCCTTTCATATCATATAAAGACCATATTATATTGTCCTTACTTTGCTTTTATCAAACACGCCTCTCTTTTTTTCCCTCATAGCCACCATTCTCTGCCACCCGGTGGCCAGAGGGGTCGGAGAAAAATAGATGTGTCTTCAAAAAATATGTAAAAATATAGACTAAATATGAATTTTGGTAATTTAGTTGGATTTCATTGAATTCTTTTCAAAAAATAACAATAGTAGTAACGGTAATAATAATAATAGTAATAATAATATAATTTCTAATCCTAAATAGAAGACGTAGTTGCAGTATAATTTAGTATCAGAGACAAAGTGGCAATAATTTTAAACGGCTCATGTGGGGGTCTGGATGTCCCCGAAGGAGGTTCGGATAGGAATTAGACGGGGGAGAAGCGTGTAGGATACGGATTGACTTGGTTGACGTGACCCTTCAGTTTAAGAGCTTCTTCGAAGTTCTGATTTTTATTTTTTATTTATTTTCACGAGTGAGGATGCAACCGCGAAGGAAGAAGATGCGTTCCTGGGAAAGTTGCCTCTACTGCATTTTTTTTTTTCAAAGAAAGCCGCAAAGCCATCGAAAAGCAAAGCAGCCGCAAAATAAATACGACCATCGCGATGACCCCATTATTGATTAACTATATATTTGAACTATTTCATATTACAAAAATTTAGTATATAAAATACCTGTTTATTTAATATAAATAAATATTTTCACGATTATTTGTATTTTGAGACACTTATATTTTATGTTAAAAAAATATTTTATCTTATTTAATTTCCTTTTACTTATTATTCATCAAACAACATGATATGGCATGACCTAGTTAACTTGCTCCAACGCGTGGTTTTCAGTATGTAGCTAGGAAGGAAATTAAGGTGAAGTTTTCGTTTACTTCAAAGCTTGCCACCCATGGAACAAAGTCCATAATAGCTGATGATGATGTATACTTAACTCGACGACTTGGTTGACTTGGTTTTTATATATTTAATTTCTGGGGTCCAAAGTATATTGTGGACTACGTCTAACGGCTATAAATTTATATGGCCACTACATCACAGAACTGAACCATCTCGTAATAATCTTCATCTTCTTCATCACAAAACCTACCTTCTTTCTGGTTTTCACCAGCAGTAATATATGCAAATGAAGGTCAGAATTTAGACCTTTGATCAACCATATACTATTATTTGTATCGCGCGCGCACACACACACATCCCATTTGGGTCTAACAACTGTTTGATTTTATTTTCTGACAGAAAGTAGTGTTGAAGGTGGAGCTACACAGTGAACGAATCAAGCAAAAAGTTATGAAAACAACCTCTGGCATTTCAGGTATTGATCATATCAAACCAAGCTCTTTCATGAAGTTCTAAGTGAGAAACAACCTTATATATTTTTAAAAAACACCCACACACACACACAAACACATTATGTCTTGTTATAGCTTAGTTTGACTCGACTTTAGATTATTTAAGATAATAATAGTAATATGTCTGATCACTGGTTTGGTTTGATTTTGCAGGAGTTGAGTCAGTGAACATAGACATGAAGGACAAGAAATTAACTGTAACAGGAGACATCGACCCAGTTAAGGTAGGGAAAAGCTAAGAAGTTTTGTCATACAGAGATAGCGTCTGTTGGAGCAGCAAAGAGTCCGAGAAGAAAGAAGATAACAAAACGATAGAGAATATAGCTAAAATGATTGTGCCTGCTCCTTCGAGTTACGGCCATGTTTATTATCCACCACCTTATTATGTTGGAACTGCGGAAGAATATCCTAATAGTGGCTGTGTCATTTTGTAAGCGAACGTGCTTTTGAATCCGATGAAACAGAGCCGCATATAGTATCGATGAAGATAGGTGGAGTGCAAAGAATAAAACTGTGTTATTGTCAGTTTATTACTTTATATGTATGTCATCTACCTCACATATGTATTAAGATTTAAAAAAAGAAACTTTTGTGTTTTAATCATATATAACCGCCGTTGCTTCCTTCTTTTAAATAAAAGGGGGTATTACCATATTTTTACTTATATTTTTCTTATTCCTATTTGTGCTTCCTTATGATGGACTTGGGCTTATACATTAAGGGTAGGCTTTTTTTCAGCATATTGCCAAATTTTGACATTTGTATTTTATATATATATATATATATAATATGGATAGAGAGAATTTTACAGAATAAATTTGACATTATTAAATCTCAAATGAAAATTTTTTTACAAATAATATCATTATTTAAATTTAATATTGTTAAAACTTTTAAAATATTATATCAAACCATATATAGGATTTAGTAATTTTCAATTTTTTTAGGATTCTTCTCATTTGAAATCAAGATCACTTAAATCTATTTCTAAATTGTGTGCGCTCGTGATATTAAAGTTAATTTAAAAGGATGACAAGCTTGGTGGGTGACACATCAAAGGTCCCGGTCTATTACTTAAATGCTACTAATAGAATTTGTCATAACTAAGAAATATGAATATTTTAATAATCTATTTTTAATTAATTATTTAAAATTTATTTATATTAAATGATATTGCAAAAAAGAGAAAAAAATAAAAAAGTTACATTTATTTTATTAATTATTAATACATGAATAGAATAGAAAATAAGCATTAATTATTATAAAAGTAAGTATTATGAATGAAGGGAATATATTAAAATGAGAAATGTAAAAGATACAAGAGAAGAAAATAAAATAATGTGAATGTAAGAAAATATGATTAAAAAAGAGGATATTGTAACTTGTAATTTGTTGCCTTAAAAAGTTGTAAATGAAGCAATGATTGTATATATCTCCTCCTCCCCTCTAATCTAACTTAAAAGGGAATAATTAACTCCTTAACTATTTTCCAGAATAAGTTTCATGGTCAAAACAAGTTTGCATGCATTTTGAGATTTCTCCTTTGCTTAAAGATCCAAATTGAATCTTCAAAGGCCATTATATGTTCCTGGAACGTTGAAAAAAAAAATTATTAACAACTACTATGGCATGGGTAATATTGACATTATTGTATATAACGTAGAACGCCATGTTAATTTAAGAGTAATGACAGTCAAAGATTTATATAAAATAATAATTTTGAATAAAAATTAAAAAAAATATTTTAAATTATTACTAAAAAGAAGAATATCTTCAATTATTAAATGGGTAAAGATATATTCAATACCCTAATCTTAATTTTTCAGATGCATTCAGCACTCTAACTTTTTTATGGTACATCCAACACCCTAATTTTTTTTAATTTATTTTATGCATTCATCACCCTAATGTTATGTTTTTAGTTAAATTCAACATCCTAATCTTTAGAGTGTTGAATGCACTAACAAATAAGATTAGAGGTGTTGATTGTATTATAAAAAAAGATCAGGATATTGGATACACATAAAAAAAATTGAGTGTGTGTTGAGTGCACCCTTACCTTATGCAAAATTCCTCTCTATCCGGTCCTAATATAATCTCAGATTTATATAATTATATTATGTAATTTTATATATAATTATATTTAGTGCAGGCTGCATTATGCATATAGTGATGGATTTAATAACGTTGCGTGCAATGAATATGAGGAGCACAATGCCACAATGGATGGGGTTCCATTCAGGAAAGCTCTTTGTGTGGAGGACGAATATAATATGTCCAAAGGCATAATTTATTATTTCATGATTGATCACAAAACGTAGACCGCTTGTAAAAAAAAATAATTGATAGATTTAGTTGTCACATTAACTTTTTTTGGGTATGTGTCTTTTTGTGTATGTATATGTGTTTTAAAAATGTTGGCTGCATAAAGAAAAAGTAAATGTTTAAAATGAGTCACTACATAGATACTCGTTATCAAAACAACTAAATTAATTTAAAATATAGTTGCTTAAAAATAAATTTCTCAATTTTATTCTTATTTCTGAAAACCAATTAGGCAGTTACTAGATTGGAGTATGTTATCAAAAGTTAAGCAATCGAGAAAACACTTCTGTCAATGCATTATTTGTTGGCAAGGATCTGCTTTATTAGAGTGAGTTTGAGGAAGGATAATACTAAACCAGGTTTACCTTTCATATCTAATTATTTAAGGGCTTCGCTGTTTGGATTCGCACCTCTTATATATTTCAACAGGAGGATCAGCCGTCTTTAAACATTGATTTGGGTTGAAAAATCATTCATTTTTCATGGCTATAATGTGACCATCATCAAACTTCAACAATCACTTCACAGGACATTTTATTCCTCTTTGTGATTTTCATGTTCTCCCTTTTTAAATTAGTTCCTTTTAATGTTTTATCTGATTTCTTAGGAAGCAGTTGCATTCTCTCTGTTGTAATGCTTAGTAAACATATGATTTTTTAATACTACTTCTGATTCTTAATATAAAATTATTTTGATATTAAATTTGATCCCTAAATATAAGACTCAATTCACTTTATTTCTTACATTTATCTTCTTCTTTTTTCAAAGTATATAATTCTTGTAGTAATTGCTTTTTCTTTGGAAAAATATAAAAATAATAAAATGCCTAGATGTTTATTAACCAAACAAAAAAAAAAAAAAAGGCTAACACTTAAATATTGTCAGGCGGGCATAATTTAGTACTTTCTAGAGTGGCTGACGAGAAAAAATTAAAATAAAACGTCAACGACAAACCAAAAAATCCGGCGTGCCTCACCCGGCAGCTACCGCTATCATTCCTATTTCCCTATTCACACGGTGAGTGGTTCCCTGGAAAGTTCTGCATCATGAAAAGGTCAACTTTGACACGTTCACCTTCCGTGTGGGGCCCATTGTAATAGTGGTGATTCGAGAGGGCGGGCCTTCATACTTGTCAGCTTTCGATTCAGGCATTTTCCTTGGACAATAAATGCATAAGATTACTTTATATATATATATATAGGGAAAATGATAAATAAAAAACTCCCCATACCTGAAATTATGATTTAGGATTCTTAATTGAAAATAGTAAACGAAAACCCATTCCATATTGTAAATATGAAATATCGGTGAAATGTCGAAATGTCTCTAAGCCCAAGTTGTAATTTGGTCTACTGAAATTGTATTTGTTAAAGTGAACTTGTTATTTGTATAGTAACTTGTCATTGACATACTCTCAGTCAATATGATTTGGTCTACTGAAATATCATTCGCTGAAAGTGAACTTGTCATTGCTAAATGGCAATACAATTTCACAATTCGACTTGGCCAGGGATGGCTTTTCATACATTTCAAATATTCTATTTAAAAATTTCACATTGCAAATATGAACGGGTCTTTATTTGTTATTTTTCAAATTGAAGGTTTCAAATTATAATTTCTATATTAGGAGTCTTGATTTGCCATTTCCCATATATATATATATATTATAAATCAATATAAATAGCTAAAAAAAAAAAATATAAAACGAAAAAAAAAATACACAAATAAGGTTTGTCCGGATGAATTAAAAAATATAACATAGAATATAAATAGAAAATCATCATCAAATAGATAACATCAATAAATAAAACATCATTTTATAGATAGGGTAAATAAAAAAAGATTGAAGCCAGCCAAAAAAACAAGGAAAAAAAGATTGAAGTAGCATATTGCCATGCTTTTTCTCAAGCGTTGTTGCATAATGGAACTGATAATAAGGAAAATAAGAAAAAACTTGAAACACATGCCATCTCCATCTAAGATAGAAATGAAATATCAAGAGAATTAATCAGAATATTGAAGTCATAAATTATTCTAAAATCTCAAGGGATCTTATTACAAGAGAATTCATTTGCTTAATTATCAAATTATCTTTTTTTTTTAAAGTTTGCATTGACAACTAAAAAAGCAGTCATTAATAACTTAAGGTGGGGGAATTGACAATTGTCACGGCAGATATTGACAACTCATGAATTATATTTTGTAATATGTTAAGAAAATGTGTTGTTAATACCCCTGCCACTGTAAGTCAATCCTTACACCTTAAGTTGTCAACGACTATTCTTTCAATTGTCAATGCAAACTTAAAAAAAAAAAGAGTAATTTGGTAATTAAATAAATAAAATTTATTACAATGAGGTCCCTTAGGGTTCAAAATAATTTGATGATTTTAAGGGATCTTTTTTTATTTAATTTCCTTGAATCGGATGTAATTGCAATTTTCCCTAGATAAAAAGAGCATTAATAAAAGGATTAAGATTCATGTACCAATATGAAGTACTATTATCGTTTCTTAATACTACCTCCGATCCTTAATATAAGATCTTGTTTGAATTTTATTTTGGTCTTAAATATAAGATCCCAATCCACTTTGGCTCTCATATTTATACATTTTTTCCAAGATAGTTCTTCTAATAATAATAGTTCTAACCAATACACTTGATTAGCAAGGATATTTTTAGAAAAGACAGTACCTATTTATTACAAATAACTAACTTAACTTTTTTGCTTAATCTCCTTAAATTAGTTAACTAGTTCTTATAATTAGGACCGGAGGTAGTATAAAAACTAGTTTGACATTCAATTTAGTCTAAATATAAGATCTCAATCTACTTTGTCTCTCAAATTTATTCATTTTTTTCAAAGTAGTCCTTCTAATAATTACACATATTAAATGTTTCATTAAATATTAGTTTTAACTAATACATATAAATAGCAAGGATATTTTAAGAAAAATAACACCTATTTATTACAAATAGCTAACTTAACAATTTTCTTAATATGCTTAAATTCATCAACTAGTTTTTATATCAAGGACATGAAAATAGTAGTTTTTAAGATACGTCTAGCACTATACTAAATTATTTTGTGATTTATCAAGTATCATGAAGTATTTTTTTTTAAAATACAACCAATACTCTCAAATACTTTGTGATGCAATTTTTCCCATAAAGTATTACTTTTTTTTTATAACAATTTTACCCTTAAAGTATTTTTTTTTTTTAAGAACAATTTCAACCTCAACATTAACATTAACACCTTAAAAAGTCCATCAAGTGAGTATGC